ATATCTGTTCTCACAGCTGTATCTAAAGTATTCGAGAAAATAATATATAAACAAATCAGTAAATATTTCGATGACAATGAATTATTTACAAAATATCAATCAGGATTTAGGAAAGGTTATTCCACATCGACAGCACTGTTAAGTGTTACAAATGAATGGTTATGTAACATTGACAAAGGCCTAATAAATGGTGTATTATTTCTTGACTTAAAAAAGGCGTTTGATACTGTAAATCATGACATTCTTATTGAGAAATTAAAACTTTATGGCTTTCAAAAGCAATCTCTGTCATGGTTTTGTAAAATTAATCAAAGTCAGTCATCAATTAGGAACGTTCGATGTGGGATACCTCAAGGATCAAATCTTGGTCCACTCTTATTTCTGATTTATATTAATGATCTGCCAAACTGTCTTGATGAATCTATTCCAAGCATTTTTGCTGATGATACAAATATGTCCGTGAATGCTACTAATGTTGATCAAATTAGTGTGAAATTAAATAATGAAATTCAAAAAATACATACATGGTTAACGGCAAATAAATTAACACTAAATGCAACTAAAACTAAATTCATGATAATAGGATCCAAGCACAATCTTACTAAAGTTCAAACGGATCCAATTATCACAGTTGGAAATAACAATATAAAACGCGTTTACAAAACAAAAAGTCTGGGAATCATTATAGATGACAAGCTAAACTGGAAAGAGAATATACATAGCATCTGTAAGAAAACTTCGGTATAGGAATGCTACGATTTTGCAAGTCTTTTGTTTCCCGAAATACTTTGAAAATGATTTATAATGCACTTATTTTACCTCATTTTGACTACTGCTCCCTTGTTTGGAGTAATTGTTCAGAAACATTAAAATTAAATTTACAAAAATTCCAAAACAGGGCGGCAAGGGTTATCACAGGTGATAATTATGATGTTCGATCAAAACAAATATTACTTAAGTTAGGCTGGAAAACACTGGATGAAAGGCGACAAAATCTCATGGAAAAATGTATGAGTAATGTTATGAATGATAATGGTCCGGAGATAATAGGTTGCCTTTTTGAAAAATGCAACAATTCTAATTATAAATTAAGAAGTAATGGCAAATTCCTAGGACTGTCAAAACCAAATACAAACTCTATGAAGAGAAGTTTTAGTTATATGGGAGCTAAGACCTGGAATCAGCATCTAAGCGATAAATTGTAATTATAGTTCCATTCTTTTATTTGTAAATATTACACGGCCCTATGAAAATCAATATCAATTGATAGGTTACCGTGTATAAATATAATTAAATACAATACAATACCCTACTTTAGTATTTTGCTCTGTCTAACGCCAGACGATTTTACTCGTCAAGGGGAGAGCGCTGGCATTTAATGGGTTAACTGGCCTATCTGCCCATGTGTCTAGTTAACTGGCCCATCTGCCCATGTGTCTAGTTAACCCATTGAGTGGCGATGCACCCTGATGCACCCTACTTTAGTATTTTACTCTGTCTAACGCCAGACGCTTTTACTCGTCAAGGGGAGAGCGCTGGCGCTTAATGGGATATAGTTGTCTGGCAAGAATCAAACCTGCGGCTCTGCTATTTCAGTGCAGTACTCTAGTCAACTGAGCTATATATCTCAGGCCAGTTGTTAAATAAGTTCATAATATTATATAGGTTACTGCTATATTAGGTTATTACTGTAGGTAGTACATATATATATATATATATATATCATATATATATATCATATATATATATATATACGGTATATATATATATATATATATATATATATATATATATATATATATATATATATATATATATATATATATATTCCTGCCAGGGACCTATATTTGCATTTTTTGCAACTGTTCCTGTTTAAGTGTAATAAATATATATAAATTTCCACACAATAATTTCCATTGACAAGACCCACAATATAGTATGTATGGCACGACAGTTCAGTGTTGTACAACATTTCAGACAGTAAAGCATGGCTCAACAATATGTACCATGCCGTGCCTTACTGTAGTGTGTAGTACATACTGTATCTCTATATTGTACTTACTGGTTCCTGATACTTTTAATATTGTGTTCTGCCAAACTGTCCTGTACTATGCGGTTCTGTATTATATATATACTATTTTGTGAGGCCATGCATACTACATTATTTTGCCCTATACTGTATTGTGCCATATTCTGTTTTCTTCTGTTTTGTGGTGCCATCTGTGCGAGCCATACTATACTAGAGCATGCTTCTCTTCTTTATAATGCACTGTAATGTAATATTGTACTACTCTGCCATACTGGCATGTCTTGGGCTGTGGTACTACATTATAAAACAAAAGAATACAGAATGGCACAATAAAGTGTAGAGCAACACCACAATATATTAAATATACA